TAAACGGTTAGTGTTTTAAGTACGTGGTATCTCTGGTTTGTTGTGTTTCATTTCATCAAAAAAAATTAATGCAGAGTCTCGAGTTGACATTAGCTTTCTTATGTAAATATGATACCACCATTAGGATTGGAATCGTTTAAAATGAAGAAAAAAAGAAACAGTTTGCTGATCTTAGCTGAAAGTCACGTTAAATGTGAAAGTAGGTTACTGGCACATGTCGAATCCAGTGGCACGAATTCCTTGGTATAAAGGAAGGTCTTAAGCGCGGTTATTCTTCCGCGATTATTCCACCTTTGTGATAGCAGGGCGATGAAAGAAGTGCGCGTAAAAATGGGAATAAAGGAAAAGTACGATGAAAAAAAGGGAAGGAACAAAAGGAAGGAGAAAAAAGAGATGCGCAAAAGTGAAAAGGTGTAAAAAGGTAAAAAGGGCGCACACAGGTAACAGTATGAACACGTCCGTCGGCATTCAAAATCGGAGAACGGAGAACGGTATGGGGTGGGGTTGGGGGTGGGGGCTTGAAACATGGAATGTCAGCTGCAAAGATTATCAACTTGTGAAGATTTATTCGACTACGTGAAGATTTTTGTAATCTGCAGTGGGACTGTTCATATCTTATGGAGTCTGTGGATATGTCTGGGATGCTTGGAAATTATCATTTTTCCAGGCTGTTGAACGTAATATTCCATCAAAACAACTTAAACCCCAGCGTAACGCACTATGGTTAAAGGCCGATCTACGGAAATTAATTCGCAGGAAGCGCAGATTATGGAAACAAGCTAAATCCTCTGGGGACCCCGCTAAATGGGTTAAATATAAAAGACTAAGTAACTGCGTGAAAGACCAATCAAGCAAGGCCTACTGGAACTATGTCAACGATTTAACAGCTTCATTAAAGACCAACCCCAAAAAATTCTGGTCTTTTGTCAAAGCGCGCATAGGCAATCGTAGCGTGGCGAGCTGCATCGAGTACGAGGGACAAAGAGCATATACACCACTCGATAAAGCTAACCTTTTCAACAGTTTCTTCCATTCTGTTTACATCAAGGCCTCAGAAGCAAGTAATTTCCAGAATCCTAATCAGCTGACCGAACATGTTATTGGTGACTTATCTTGTAGCGTAGAAGAAGTGACGAAACTACTTCAATCAATCAATGTCAATAAAGCATCTGGCCCTGACAATATTCCTCCAAGAGTACTCAAGGAATGTGCTATGGAATTGGCTCTACCCCTGACAATCTTTTTCAACTTCACTTTGTCTCGGGGGAATATTCCAACTGATTGGAAAGTTGCAAATGTTGTGCCAATATTCAAATCTGGCAAAAATAACCTGGCAGACAACTATCGTCCAATCTCATTGACTAGCGTCGTTGTGAAAACGTTAGAGCGCTTGATCCACAAGCAAATAATGAAGTATCTGATTGACTTCCAACTGCTTAATGACAATCAGCATGGCTTTAGACCATCAAGATCTTGTGTTACCCAGCTACTGCAATTAGTACATGAGTGGCTTCAGGCCTTGGATAAACTCGGATCTATTGACGCAGTATTTTTGGACTTTGCCAAGGCTTTCGATAAAGTCTCTCACGCCCATCTCCTCTACATATTGGAATGCAATGGTATAAAAGGCCAGATCTTAACTTGGTTAAGGGATTTTCTCATGTCAAGGAAACAGCGTGTAGTGATTGAGGGTCAAGCATCTGACTGGTTAAATCTTACATCTGGTGTACCCCAAGGCAGTATACTTGGACCTTTGCTGTTCCTTGTATACATCAACGATCTTCCTTACTCAGTAACCTGCAACGCTGATTCGTTTGCTGACGATACTGTCCTTCATCGACACATAGCAAATGGATCGGATTGCGATCTACTTCAAGAGGATTTAACATCTGCCTCTGATTGGTGCAAGTCTTGGCTTGTTACTCTTAAGACCCAGAAGTGTGAAGTCCTACACATTTCACGGAAGAATGACCCAGTAAGATATCAATATTCGTTGAATCATATCTTACTACCGGAAGTGGACCACCACAAACACCTGCGTCTTTGGCTGACGCCGTCTTTATCATGGGATTATCACATTAACTCAATTTGTGCTAAAGCTAACAAGGTCCTGGGCTTGATAAAAAGGACATTTGGTTATTCAAACAAGACTGGTATCAAAACAGCTTTTAAGGCACTAGTGATACCTATCCTCGAGTATGCCTGCCCAGTCTGGAATCCTTATCTGGTGAAACACACCAAGGCAATCGAAGCAATTTAGAGGAGAGCGTCCCGACTAATATGTGGCCCAGACAAAGAATATCCTGAAAGACTTCTAGAGTTAAAATGGGACTCTTTAGAACTGAGAAGACAATACCTTAGCCTAGTTCAAATGTATAAGATTATATTTGGTTACTGTGATATCAATTGCCATCATTACTTTGATATTATTGGAATAACTCGAACTAGAAGTAAGCATGAGTGTAAAATAAGGCCTAAAGTTGCTCGTACAAATTATTTTCAATATTCTTTTTTTAATAGATATATTAACGATTGGAACTGTTTGCCTTCTGAAGTAATGTCATCCCGTAGCCCTCAGTCTTTTAAAGTTTCACTAATTAAGTACCTCCGTTCATAATTACCCCAAATACCAGTTTTTTTTTTTTTTGGTTATAGTTTTTTTTTTGGAGGGTATGTCTTAGCATGGGAATTTAGTTTCCCCCTACTACCATCCTGTCAACCATTTTTGTACTTTTGTTCGATGTATGGTTACGAACTGGGATTAAAGATTAAAGATTAAAGATTGCGAAATAAGATTCATGGTGATTTTTGCGGATTTTTTCGGATTTTCTTTATCTGACGGTGGCATACCTGAATATTTTTATGAGTTGTGCCGTATTTTGACTTTCCCCACAGGCTCGTCAAATTCAAACAAGGAGTGAAAGTACTAGGCAATACTACAAACCAATGAATAGTCTACTAGGTTATTAATGATCCAACTGCTTTTTATTCCGCCATGTCTTTCTGCTCATTTCTCATAAGGCGGGAACAGCAAAGTGGATAGAGAAGCGCAGCGTGCGTAGCCGACCGGTTAAACAGGTTTTTTTACAGTACAAAATAACCAACTGTACACCTGTGGTACATACATATATTCGCATTATTTGAACTCTACCTAGTTGGATTATAAAACCAAATTATCTTGTTGTACCCCTCACCGACGCGGCACCACAATTTCCTTAGAAACTAAACCAGTTATTCATACGTTGTTGATTACAACGCCTGCAGCTGGTGCGAGGCCAAAAGCAACCAAAATATACTTAATAGACTGCGCTTGGAATAGAAATCTCCCAAAAACTCAGCATACTTCGTATACACATACCTTAACATTACTAAAATACTTCTCGAGCGCTTCACATGACTCTCACTTTCATACGATCTGATTAGTTATACTTTATTTTTATTATTTTTATATTTTTTTTATTATTTTACGTTTTTCCAGTCTATCGAGTTCATGTTCCATTCAAAGCCGTTTTCTTCTTGATTAGTGTTCTTTGTTTGAAAGAAATTTGATCATATGAATTAACGTTTAAGCGTTTGACGAAAATGAAATACCGTACGCATAAATCAAATGATCGAACAGCTCGTTAAAAGGAAATGTATAGCAGCGAGAGAGGAGAATTAACAATCGGATCTTGGGAGTTAAGGGGTTTAAGTCTTTTGAAGTGATAGAATTATCACTAGTTCTTCGGATTAGACAGAGATACTCTACTAGATTAAGTCGTTTTGTATATTGCTATTTTATCCGTGAGCCACCCCACAGGTTCCAACGGTCGATCAGCTGAAAAAGGATTCTTTTTCGCCTTGTGAAAAAATGGTATCACAGATGTCTCTCTATTTGCCTCTTACTGCTATTTCATACAAGATGCTCGTCACAGGTTCCGGAAAAAAGAACCAACTCTTTGGCACAACAGACAATTTGCTTACGCACTTTGAATGAGCAAACGCTGATGAGGAAGTCTTTATGTGTTTATGGAAGGAAGTTTCAGTCATCGTCGCTCGGCGTGTGTTGTTTAAACGAAATATTATGCCCCTCATCTTTTGGAGGTGGATTACATCAAAGATTTACTTTTTTCTCAGCAGTGCATATGTGAGATGAAATTGACTGCAAACGGTTCTTACAGAGTCCTCTTGTTGTCATGAGCTTTTGAACTCAGTGAACGACAGTGGTGTCGAGAAACTAAATCATTTTTGCCCCTGATTTTACGTTAGAAGTCCACAGTCAGCATTCAAGTTGTCTCCAACTGATTGACGTTTCGCCTTCCCATTCAAATTTGGTTTCCAGAAGCTGATCATAATTTAAACAACACTTACTCATTTATGCGGCTATCAACGTCACTTTTCCTTAGTTAGGCTAGTTTTTGCCTTAAACTGTGGGATGAAAAAAAAGCACAATATTTTATTTTAATTTTACCTCTTTGCGCAAAGTCATTCAAAGATTGAACCTAACAAGTTGAATACACATGTGCTGTAGTTGTGACGCTTAACACTGTTAGGGGACAAACATCCTGCCTCTCCTATTTAACAAAGATAATTTGAAGGAAAAGTCGCTGTAACAAAAAAACTATTTCATCTTTGGAGGGAACTTCTAGAGTTTATCGATGGAATAACGTGACAGAATTACCCGTTACAAAGAAGTTTACAAAGAGTTATATTTAATGTGACTCTTGTGAAGAAATCGACAGCTCTTGCTCGTCTGAGTAACGAAGGATTGTCCATCGCGCCATAAAATATTAACATTCGTGGATGTTTTGTTCTTATCGCGTTTTGATAAATCATAGCTGAGACAAAAGTGAGGCTTTAAGGAAAATGGTTCATCATTTTTTGGACACAAATGACTGTATTTCCAAACATTTCAAACGACTAAACGCGACTGAAAAAGTTTTCATATGGTTATTTTGAAAAAAAAATAAAGTTTAAGTGATCAACGCTGCGCAGGTGCTCTCAGTGCGGCAGCAAATTCAATGGGAGATGGAACGCAAGTGAACACATTTGAAGAACTTATATGTTCCTCATCTTTGGCTGGCGAATTTGAACAATACTCATTGCGTCTGTCAGCAATCATCATTTTCTTTTGCCTGACAGCATTTCTTGGGAATTCTCTGATCTTTGTTGCACTTCACAAGGTGTCTTCCCTCCATCCGCCGTCCAAACTCTTGTACCGTTGTCTGGTAACAAGTGATCTGTTAGTCGGTCTTGTAAGCCAGCCTCTCACTGCTACTCTTTGGATGTCGGTTGTTTTCGAAGAGTGGAGACTTTGTCGATTCGCATGGGTAGCAGCCTCCATTTCAGGGTATGGATTATCTCTTATGTCTTTGTTGACTTTGGCAGTCATGAACGTGGACAGACTTCTCGCCCTGTTGTTGGGGCTGATTTACAAACAAATTGTAACTTTGATGCGCACATATATCATTGTCGTTACTCTTTGGATTGTTACCGTTGTCGCTACTCTATGCAACGTGTTAGCTTCTCGTATAGCGCCTTGGTTTGGTCGAATTGTCATCTCATGTTGCCTATTAATCTCGATTGCTTCATATGCTAAGATTTTCTGTGCTCTTCGCCGTCATCACGCTCAGATACAAAGTCATGTTCAACAACAGCCGAGCCAACCAAATGCATTGAACATGGCGCGATACAGAAAGGCAGTGTACAGTGCACTGTGGGTGCAGTTAGTGTTACTTGCTTGTTATGTGCCAGTGATTTTAGTGGGAATTGTGATGGCTCATATAAAAGGAAATTCATTGCATTTAGTCGTCGCTCTTGGAATAGCGAGTACCCTGGTTTATTTTAACTCGACTTTAAATCCGTTTCTTTACTGCTGGAAGATTAGTGAAGTAAGAAGAGCAGTTAAGAAGACAATCAGACAAGCGCTTTGCTGTCCACGAGGTTAGATCTTCCATTATACTCTTTTTTAGTTGTTTCAAGGGAGTAAGTAACGTGACGATGCTATTAGATAACGTCACCTGCCGGATATATCATTGAATAGGAAGAAGTAAGAAGCTTAATGAAGTCGCTGTACAAAGGTTTTTAGATATTCTCACCATAGATCAACATGGCTCATTTTGCGCATGATAAAGCAAAAATCATGGAATCTACACGTTAACGATATCGTAAGAATTTAAGAATGATATTCATCTTAATTGAGGGAGGCGTTTGACTACAGCTGGCTTGATACAAAAAAACATCCTTATCTAATTAACAACCGATGACTTCAATCGCAGCTTCTGTGGATAAGCTTTATTTCTAACTCAGGTTAATTAAGGCCTGGGTCACCCTGTCTTTAACCCATAATTTCACAAAATTGGGAATAACTTAGCTATCTTGCGAGGGATTTTTCTCATACTTGGCAGAAATGTGTATCACTACTATCTCTCTCGGACTGAATTGTGGCAGCGTAATATGATACTCTCAACAGCCAAAAACAGTTAATTAGGCGCCAAATTCGTCGCTTGCTTTCTTGAGCAAATTCCCACCACTAAACACAAGGCAAATCAAAATGCAGTTATCGCTATGAATATTTGAGACGTTTTTCATTGTTTTCCCACTTGGAATGGCTGCCAAAAAAAAAGAGAGATGTGCTAGGCAGATTAAATCAAGTTTTGTCTCTGCGAAGCTGCTTCCTTTATCATGGTTTTCGCTTTCAATGAAAGTAATCCCACAGGTTCCTATTTATTTGGAAAAAAGACAAATTAAAGCTGTTTAAGAGGTGGGAATTTTGAAAACTCGCAGTCACGTAATTCAACTCAGTGTCCGCCATTTTGACACGTGAGTCACGCGAGTGTTCAGAGGCAATAATTTAACGGCTGATACACTACCAAATACTAATTGGAGCAATCTCAGAAGTAATAATGGCAAACTTTGTATACTTTTGATGGTATTTATTTCTTTTTCTCGTTTTCTGAGGTCGATTGCATCTCTGTAAATCCAGGGTTAGATCGCCTTTGACAGTTCTAATAAATCACAATTGCAAATTTGGGCGGTAAGAATAAAGAACGTTTGTAATTTTATCCTGAGTTTATCATATAAAGAGACTGAATTACAATTTTGGCGCAAAACTTGAAAGTTATCGCACTGATTCCTTGAAACTCTTCAAGGTTTTGTTCCCTAACAACGGTACTACTCGATAACGAGCTAAGTGTATTCGTGTGAAACGAAAATGTCTGTCATTTTTAATTGTGGATTTGCAAGAGTTGCTGTAAAGGAGAGCTTTTAGTAAGGTTGGAAGTGCTTCGGTTGAAACTAACCCTAGTGAAAAGTGGAAGAACTATCTTGCAGCGTTCGAGGGTGACAGTCAGGAAGTCTTTGCGGTCGAACGTTCCACCTACGTCAAGAAATCCAAAGCAATTTACAGCTCTTTCCGAAAGATGAACTCAAAAGCCAGGGCCCAGTTGGTAAACTGGAAAGCTCTTAATACAGCGCAGAAGAAACAGCACACACTGTCAAATTGTGGAGGTTGTCAAGTGCACTATTATGCCATCCATAATTTTTTCCCTAGTGGAGAAACTTTCAAAACCCGAAAACTTTTAAAAGAGGCCCTTATTGAAAGTGGGGTGATAACACAAAGTAAAGTGAAACCAACGCAAAAAGCCATTAAAACTGCTGTAAAACACATTTATTCATAAGTGAATGGCCACTTTGACAAAATATTTAAAATAAGCTTTGCTGAAGCACAAACAAAAGTGAAGGAACTTCAGCTCCAAAAAAAGAAAGACACAATTGAGAAAAAGCGGCAGCGTCGAGGGAGAGCACGCCAAGAAAAAAATAAAATCCAATGCTAATGTCTAGTCCATCTGGAGGAGGAGTGATGTTTCTAGTTACTTTGCAGTAATTTGCATGCCAAACAATGAGATCAACAATCTTCACCTTTACTTGTGTTGCAATCTAGCATTTATTTTTTCTGTTCAAAGTAGGTGTTAAGCAAAACATTCCACTTTTGGTTTCCATGGCTCAAGAATGTTTGGATGCCAGCCCTGTAAGAAGACCAACAACAACAGGCATTATGGCAACACTGGCTTCCATAATATCTCACTGAATACTATAAGCTTAAGCAGGGGTTTCACGGGCCTGACACTGGGCAAATTGACTGGCTGGGAACACAATTTTTCCTGCATGTTGTGACTGACATAAATCAGAATCAAAACATATTTTGCCTGCTTCCTTGTACATTTCCCATCACCTCAAAATCTTAATGAAACCTCTGCTTAAGAAAGTAATAATTAACACTCTAATCAGGTAAAGTGACCCTAGTCATGTCATGGCAGGAGTCTTTTTATTGGGCTTTGCAAGGTTAAAATTACAATGTATGTGCATGTCTTTAGCAAGTTTATGTGTGCTCTTGGTCTAAACTAATTTTGTACTTCTGCTTTACGAATTGTGAATGAATGCTAGAGGGACATTTTTAATAATGCACAAATAAGGTGCTCTGGGGTCCATCAGGTACAAATTACTTCATAGGTCATACCCATGTCTATAATTTTACATTGCTGCTAGATAACATACATGTATCGATTTATTTCCCAATTCCTGCCAATTATTGATCTATGAAATTGAATTTAGGCAAGCAACTGGCAGATCAAACTTAAAATTATAAACCAGAGTTTTAACCAGTTAGGCCACCATAGCCTTCTAACAGGAATATTGACTTGGAAGAGCAGCAAAAAAAGCAAGAAATACAATTTTAAAATTTTTCTTTCTGACTTTGTAACAAGGGTAACCTATCCTGCTCTTAAGATGGCACATCTTTTATGAGTAGGGCTAAGAAGAAGACACATCTTCTACCAGTTTGTGTTTGCTCTTGTCACAAAAAAACAGTGCCCCACTTGGGGCAACAGTAAGCACTGGTAATTAATCATGTCTTATCAACAAAGAGGGAAGGCTATGGTCAGAATCATATGCATGTATCAGAACTTTCGTGATGCATTTGAATTAAAAGATACTCCACTGGTGTAGTAGGTAGAATATTTACATTCAAATAGACACATATATCAATTACAAGTCCATCATTGACAATGATTGTTGCAATTATTACTGGTCAAAACTTAAAAACCAAACTGTTGACTATAATTAAAACTGACATAACATGATTTAAAAACCAAAAAAATGCCTCATAAATAACACCATTAACATGCTTGTAATAAATTAGTTGTGTGGAATAACTGGAAGGACCTCTTCAAGAAAACAAATACGGATAACAGTAAATAAAACTGGTTTTAATCAAGGTTCAACAGGGTTCTCTTTGGCTTTAAGATAGCGATATCATGCCATTTTTTGAGGAAATGAAGATAGCAAAGAAAATTTTATTACCTTGTTTTGATGTCTTCCTCTAGATTGTCGGATTCACCAGCGAAGATGGGAAAAACCAATGCAAAGCCGACACTTCAAAATGGCGGATGCCGTTCACGATTTACGCGATCTTGAATCCAAGTAACTATGGTTACTCGCGCAGTCCACGCGAATTCCGCGAACCTTGCTGGGGGGTCACTGGAAGCGAAAATCATTTTTGACCCAGGCCTTAATTAACCTGAGAAGTGTACGCACAGCTAAAGGACAGGGAGTCGTATCACTAACGGCAATACTTGGGACAAGTAAGTTTCATGCGACAGCAGTTATTTTGAATACAACAACCTATGATTTGATCGACATAAAAAATACCGTCCACGCAAAGTAGGGCAAAAAAACTGGACGCTAGTTTGATTTTACTTACTCGTTTTACTATCTTTGTGATACGAAAGTACATGTATAGGATGAAATTGATTCCGAAAGGGTAGTGAAGGAGTGATTTTTAAGTTCTTCTCTTACGGATGGTGAAATAATTTCAAATTTTTAACCTCGCTGCATGAAATAAAGCGCATGACTTTGGCTCGATATTGCCGTACGAACCGTTCAAAGTAAGTCTTGTTGAAGACAAGAAATCGTAATTTTGAGCGCAAAAGTCCATAATGCTTATCAATGTGTGATGATACTTCTATAAATTGTAAATAACTAGTAAGTAAGCGAATGAGAAACAGTCTAACATTACCGGCTCTTAGTGAGAGAATTCTCTTAAATATTTTGTTGCTTAAATTTATCATCAAATTACTAATGATGACCAATTAATCATAAAATTACAATGTCCTAAGATAATTCTCTTAAAAAAGTCTTTTGTTTCTCAAAATTATTATTAATCACCAATTAATCATAAATTTATCAATTCTGGGAAAAAAGAATAACCAAGTTATGAAAAAGATGGAAAATTTGCATTAAAAGACTCACAATTGGTTGATTTAAACTAAAACTTTGAATATGATTGGTTGATTTAAACTACAGCTTTGAATGTAATTGGCTTATTGGACTGTCCGATAACAATTTGGCAAGTGAATTAGTGGAAAACAGGAGTTTTTTAAGCCAATCACAATCCAGGAATTAATATAACTTTTATGATTACAAATGATAAGAAAATGTTTCAGTGACAACGGACGTCTGATATAGGTGGTGGTCACAAAACCAACTATGGCCTCGATTTTTTAATATAATGGTCAATAATTTCCGGGGGAAAAAAATTGTAAATGTCTCTTTTTTTCAACTGTCAGTAATACTTTGTTGAGATCCACGCTTGAAATGAATTCGATTATTGTTGTCTCTCATAAATTTTTGTTTTGATTAACAGTTTACTCAATGGGTTATATTGATATGAAACTAACGGATAAGTTAGAAGGAAACTTACTATCAATACTGAAAAGTGTTGCAGCAAAATAAATGGTATGTTTCATCAAAAATTTAAGGCCAGTTATTTACACAAGGTCTAACCCAAACCGTGGTTTTACGCGAGCAGTGAAAAGCAGGTGTTCTGTATAAGAGGGTAGATTAATCATAATAAATGTCCTTCCTTTATTAGATCTCGACCTTCTAGATACTATTCACAAAAATGTATGCCAAGATAAAAGGTTCAACTAAATTGAAGATGGCTTAGAATAATATTCTATATATAGAATAATATTAACTTGTTCGATATTTTTATCAAGTGTTGATAGTTTTTAAGTATCCATTCCTTCCTTTTCCTTCACGATGAATAGATTATCATTTTCACTTAAGCATAGTCATAAAACTCTAGTTACCGGAGGAGAATGATTAGTCGCTCCGGGGAATTACGACAGGAAGAATTCAGTCACTACGGTGTACATGAAGGCTTGCTAGATGCCAAAATATTCTTATTCTCTTCACTCGGACAAGACATTGGCAAAGAAAACTTTAGCTGGGAGGAGACCAATTAAAGAGTGTAAGAGAAACGGCAAAATTGTTTGAAAACGTAATTTCTTGCTTTTCTTTTGTTTCGTTTCTAATTTTCTCGGAGACGAAACGGGGGTAAAAGAGATACAAAACGTTATTAATTACACAGTTACATTGAAATGTCCTAAATAAAGTTTGCATCCGTAGCCATGCATTAATTTTGAATCGCTATACGCATTCAAATTACTGGACTGTTTGTCATGGATTTGTCAACCTTGGCTTAGGCCTTCTTTATTTTCAGCTTGCTGAGGCTGAGAATGATTCAAGGCTCAACCTTACACAAAGGATATGGGCATTTGATTAAAAGCCTATCAGTGAAATTAGGTTGTATAAACATCGGCCTTCGATGGTTTCAGGTTCCCATTAGTAGCACTGAGGCACAGCGTTCCTTCGGCCCCGTGTCGTGTTACTCAAAGCCTCAAACTTATTCACGCGCGAAGTAACTCGTATTGAAGCCTTAACAGTGAGTGCCTTCCCGCAGGTTAAATAGGGCGGATTGTTTGTTGCAACATGAAAAAAAATTATCTTAAAGATGTCTTTAAATATTTGTCTCTTATTCTTATTTCATACGTGATGTCTATGACAAGTTAGGCACAAAAAAAGGCTTTTTTGACATAACAGACGATCATCTGACGTATTTTAAACGATTAAAGAATAGTGAGGAAGCTTTTAGGTGATTGCTATGTAGGAAATAGAGCTTAAGTGATCGTCGTTGTACAATTGCTGCCTTAACGAAATATTTTTCTATTTGCAATCATGACAAGAAACGGGAAACGAAAACAGAATAAAGTCGACCAAGCTTTTTGGAATTCATAATCTACCACCATACAGGGAATATTTCTCCAAGTGATCATCATCCCAAAATAATGACAGTATATCTAAATAAACCGGAAATTCTCTTATTCTCCATCTCGATCAAAAAATTACCTTGTTTACTTTATTAGTGGAAACTAATTGTCATGACCAAAGGAGAATTGTTAATTGCTCAAGAGTATCGCATGAACAACAACCGAATAACTTCTCTTTACATGAAAGCTTACTTGATATGGGAATAAATTATTTTTTCGTCATACTTTGAACAAGACATTAGAAGCAAACAAATTGTAGATAGGTTCTAGAAGGCCATCTTTCGTTCGTCATTATCCGGGATAATCAATATAAATTTGCTGGCCAAAGAAGAAGGACAACAGTTGAAGTGAAAGAGGAAATTGCAGAAAATTGTTTGCTGGCGTAATAACTTGATCTTGTTACTATTTTGTTTTTAGTTCTAGTCGGATACGAAACGGAGAGAAAAAAGCCACACAGCGCAATTAGATAAACAGTTAATTTCAAATATTTTGAAACAAGTTTGTATGTGTGGCTGTACATTAATTTTAAATAGTTGTGTAGTCTACGTAGTACATTCGGTGATTGTCACGAATTCAATTTTTCTCCTACAACAATTGACATCGCCAGCTTGGGCTTTTGCAGTTTTAGCTTTCCATCACTGATAATAATTAAAGTCTTAACATAACGCAAAAGATATGGACCGTTGATTAGCATCCATTCCAATGGAATTTAATTCTGATAAAGAGCGACTCTTTGCCGCACTGTAAAAACATTGAAATAACAGATGTTTCTATATTTGCCTTTAATTGCTATTTCATAACAGAGGCACCCAAAGGTTCTCGGGAAAAATAATTTTTTTGACCCAACAGAAAATTTTTTATGCGATTGTCAGTTAGAAAGCAAGGGAAACGCCGAAGACAGAATTATGTCCACAACAAATTTCAGTAGCGGTGGAAGTCACACGAAATCATTTCAAGAACTGTTATGCTCTCCCTCTTTGGTGGGTGGGCTTCAACAACAGCTATCGATTTTCTTCGTAGCGGTTGACATTTTCCTCTCCATTACGGCATTTGCTGGGAATTATCTCATCCTCGTTGCCCTTTCCAAAGAATCTTCCCTACATCCGCCGTCCAAACTCCTGTATCGTTGTCTGGCAACCACTGATCTGTTGGTTGGTCTTGTTGCCCAGCCTCTCAATGCCCTATATTGGATGTCCGTGGTTCAAGAACACTGGAGCCTTTGTCAATATGTATTTGATGCAGCCAACATCACAGCCTATGTATTGCTTTTAGTGACTCTGATGACGATGACGGCCATAAGTGTGGACAGACTTCTCGCCCTGATGTTGGGACTGAGATACAAACAAATTGTAACTTTGAAGCGCACGTATATTATTTTAACTACCTTCTGGGTTTTTAACCTTGTCGCCTCTTTAAGTGGATTTTTTCATCACCCTATAATCTTTCTGTACAGCTCCTTAGTTGTATCATTTTGCCTGGTAATATCACTCGCATCGTACGCAAAGATTTTTTTGCATTCTCAGATTTCACCAAGCGCAAGTACGAGATCAACAGCCGGCGAGCCAAACAAATACACTGAACATGGCGCGATTCAGAAAGGCAGTGTACAATGCACTGTGGGTGCAGTTAGCATTAGTTGTTTGTTATGCACCAATATGGACAATGAATATTGTGATCGCTCTTACTAAAAAATATTCATTACTCTCAGTTGTCACACGGAAAGTAGCAGTTATTTTACTTTACTTTAACTCGACCTTAAACCCGTTCCTATACTGCTGGAAGATTAGTGAAGTGAGACAAGCAGTGAAGCGGACACTAAAGGAAGCACTTTGTTGAGTTAGGTCTTCCTCGGGTTGTTCTTCAGACTTTCAAAGCAGACTCATTAAGTCATGATTATTATTAGAGCGCAGTTATTAAATAAGTTATTGGATAAAAAATAAATAAGAGGCTCAATAGAATAGTCGCGTAGGCTGTTATCGATAGTCTTTATATCTCCGTGAGCAATTTAACGATAGATTAGGTAACCCTAGCCATGTGTTTTCAAAAATAAGGTTTCTTGCCGCTATGCCAAAATACAAGATGTCATAATTGAAGAAAATTTATGCAAACATTTTACTTTCATGTTTTCTCCTCTTACTGATATGAAGGCATCAGATAAAACTTCAAAGAGTAGTTTAAGAGATGTCTTTGAGGCCGATGTTGTATGCTACGATAAAACTATTCCAAGTAGTTTCCCGATAATTAAAAGAAAGCGCTTGACGTCGATATTGGCGCCATAGTGCCAAAAGAGACAGTCCAGTTTAAGTCTTGAATTTGTTTGTTTTGTGATCAGAAAATTATCCGTAAACCTTATGTGAAGAAGTTTTTGTTACTTGTATATTCAACTGAAGGTTACGAAAGTATATGAAATAGAATTGACCATCTCTGTTTGTGACAGATTTTTTTTTTACAGATCGATCGATGTTCTGAAATTATATTGGCCACGGCGAAAAACAACCTTCACATCATTTGTATAGAGGTCATCATATGTCCAGTTTTTCGCTGGTATATCTTTAGCTTGTCTCTGAGTTTTACGGATTTTATTTCCTCCATTACCGAGTGATTAACTGCTGTCCTTAAGTTCCTCAAACGTTTTTTATTGGGTCGTTTTCAAAGCTTTTGTATGAGCTTAGAATCTACTTCAATATCATACCATCTTATTATCGCCCTAAAAAACGACAAGTTTGTTTCACCCATTAAAGAAGTGATAAAATAGATATTTTAAGACTTAGGAGTCCCATATCATATTGTAAAACAAAAAATATAGCCCATGTCTTTGTGTTTGCCAAGGGAATTCACACTCGGTGCTAATTTGAAATTAAACTGAAATGTTATTTACGGAAATCAACAGTTGCTTGTAACAAAGGAACATGTTCTTGTTTAATTAATTTTCATACTTCCTTCGCTGTGCTGAATCATTAAAGAGGACCAGAAAGAAAATTCCCTGGGGAAGAACTCGTGTTAAAGGAGGGATTGACGCATCTATTAGCGATTAAATCTTTTGTCTGGTTTTTCAGGGAGCTGGTCTTTGTCCGCAGTTCACACATGATTTTCAAATATTCACAGTTTGTTATCGCAAAGGTCATTGGTTCAAATCCCGTATAGGCCTAAATTCTTTTTAGGCCCTATTTTCGCTACTGCTCGAGAAGTGTTCATTACTGTGAAGATTGTTTTCATATTCACGTTTCTTGTTTTGTCGGAGACGAAACAGAGATAAAAGAACCTCAAAATGTTATAAATTACCCATAAATTCAAATATCCTAGATTAAGTTTGCATCTGTGGCCTTACATTAATTTTGAATCGCTATATGCATATAAATTGCTGGACTGTCTGTCATGGATTTGACACTCTTAGCTTAAACCTTCTTTATTTTCAGTTTGCTGAGGCTGGTAATGATTTAAGGCTCAACCTTACACAAATATATGGACATTTGATTGACACCCTATCAATGAAACTAGGTCGCATAAACATAGGCCTTCGATGATTCCAGGTTCCCATTATTAGCACTGCCTGATTGCGTTCCTTCGCCCACGAGTCGTGTTACTAAAGGCCTCAAAGTTATTGACGGGCGAAGTAACTCGTATTGAAGCCTTAATAGTGAGTGCCTTATGGCAGGCTAAGTAAAGTGGAATTGTTTGTTGCAACATGAAAAAATAATCTTAGAGATGTCTTTAAATATTTGCCTCTTATTCCTACTTCACACGTGATGTACATGGCAAGTTAGACACAAAAAAGGCTTTTTTGACACAACAGACGATCTTCTAACGTATTTCAAACGAGTAAAGATTAATGAGGAAGTTTTTAGAAGATTCATATAGGAAATAGGGTTTCAGTGATCGTCTTTGTACAATTGCTGTTTTAACGAAATATGTTTCTCGTTGCAATGCATGAAAGAAAGAAGAAACGAATACAGAATAAAGTCGACCAAGCTTTTTGAAATTAATAATCTACCACCATACAGGGATTATTTCTCCAATTAATCATCATCCAAAATAATGACATTACATCTAAATAAGCTGCTTATTCTGTCTCTCAAAAACTGACGAAAGAGAATTTCCTTATTATATCGTCAAACAAAAATATACCCGATGTCTTTGTGTTTGCTAAGGGAATTAACTTTTAACGCTAATTTTAATTTAAATTAAATTTATTCTACTGGAAAAAACAGCTACAAGGAGACGGGTATTTACATATATGTAGAACGTCGAAAGAAACATAACCCGGCGTGTAAACGAGGCCTAATACAAGTCCGAATCTGTCGTAGCAAGCAGGTGTCTTCTTAACAACTTATTCATTCCTCAGTGTTCGATATAAAGCACGAGGCAATGTTGTTAGAGAGTTTGAAATATGTGTCAGAGTTGGTAAAGACGAAGCCTCTCCTAGAACAATTGTAAATTTTTCATCAACCATTGATAAGCTTTGACGACCCATCCCTTCATTTTCCATCTCGATTAATAAATTATCTTGTTAACTTCATTATTGGAAACTAATTGTCATCACCAAAGGAGAATTGTTAATTGCTCAAGAGAATCGTAAGAACAAAAATTGAATAATTTTCCTTTTACATCAAAGCTTACTTGATACGGAAGTATTTTTTCGTCATATTGTGAACAAGAAATTAGAGGGAAAAAAAGTGTATCAAGGGTCTGCTGGCGAAAGGAGAAGGAAAACATTTGAAAGTAAAAGGAGAAATTGCAGAACATTTTTTGCTGGCGTGATAACTAGATTTTGTTTTTAGTTCTAGTCTGATATGAAAGGGAGAGAAAAAAAGCTACGAAGCGCAATTAGATACACAGTTAATTTCAAATATTTTAAAACAATTTTGTATGTGTGGCCGTACACTAATTTTGAATGGTAGTGTTGTTTACGTAGTACATTCGGTGATTGTCATGAATTCAATTTTTCTCCTAGTACAATTGACATCGCCAGCTTGAGCTTTTGCATTTTTAGCTTTCCGTAGCTGATCAAGATTCAAGCCTCTTTATGTCGAATTTTTTTATGGCCGTATAATATTTTTGTACGCCCGCCTAGTTATATCATTTTGCTTGGTAATATCACTCGCATCGTACACAAAGATTTTTCGCACTCTCAGATATCATCAAACGCAAGTGGGAGATCAACAACAGCCGAGCCAAACAAATGCACTGAACATTGGGCGATTCAGAAAGGCAGTATACAGTGGAATGTGGGTGCAGTTAGCATTAGTTGTTTGTTATGCACCATTGTATACAGTGACGATTGTGATCGCTCATACTGAAAAATATTCATTACTCTAAGTCATCACACGGAAAGTAGCACTTATTTTAATTTACTTTAACTCGACGTTAAACCCGTTTCTTTATTGCTGGAAGATCAGTGAAGTGAGACAAGCATCGAAGCAGACAATTAGACAAGCACTTTGCTGAGTTAGGTCTTCCTCGAGTTGTTCTTCAGACTTTTAAAGTAGACTCACTAAGTTACGATTATTATTGGAGAGAAGTCACTGGATAAGTTATTGGATAAAAACAAATAAGTGGCTCAACAGAATAGTTGCGCAGGCTGTTGTCTGTCTCTGTCCGACATGAAAGCTAGTGCCAAACACGATTGTGTACATGCTCCGCATGACACGCAAACGAAACTGAAAGTGTTGCGATCAAAAGGGCTTGCACTGAATCAAATCGATAATTTGGATATCCTTTGTAACTCTCCCGAATTACTTATTTTGTCCAAGGTAAATGCCAGGCATTGCTTGCGAATTTTTGTGCATTCCACAGCTGTAACTTATTCAAACAAGCTCAGCTTAATAAGCTTGTAACTAACACGAAGCGGCAATACAATTAATACACGCCAGAATAAAGTAAAAGTTGGCAATCGTCGTCACTTGACTGCAGGAACATCTTTCATTGTCGGAAATCAGAGAAAGTTCGGAAAGAGGAACATTTGAAGGAGGAAATCTCAACTAAAAAAAATTAAAATAAAAGTATTTACCTTACTCTCAAAAATCTGATACAACCATGCGTTCTTGCCTCTGTCGCGGAAATGGAAGGCACGTTTGACTATTTTACGACCTTGCTTCCTCAGTCCGTCATGAAAATGTTTCAAAGTCACTACGAGAGAAAGTACTAAGAAAGACTCGAAAGCTATGTCATGGAACGGAGAATCGCAACGATGGGTTGTGAAAATGAAACAGAAAGTTCCTTGACCCATAAATCTGTGCAAGCTTGAAACCGGAAATTCTCCAACTGAAATTGAAAGAAGAGCCCACATATGGGCAGCTGTCACCGCCAAAAATAGAAAAATAGAATTGGTTTGTAATAACAGATAGAGTCTAATTGTCTTTTGGAGAACGATTTATCTTATCCTAGGAGATTTATTTAAAATACAAATGGACAAGTCGCATTTGGTGAAATGAAATATTCAAACAAAAAATGGTTTATACAATTGAGGAGCTGTGTAGCCACCCTTGTTGAACTGATTCAATAAAAACATGAGTGGCCAAGTGTTAACTGAAATGGTTCAGTGTCGAAATGACAAACGGTTCAGCTAACTGTACTTTGGTTCAGTAACTTGACAAAAACGATTCAGAGTGGTGTGAAATGGCCTAGGTTATCGGCAAATGGTTAATCGTAGCCGCAATGGTTTAGTATCGCATCAATCTACTCACCGTAA